CATTTAAAACCATCGGAATGTCTGTAATAGAATTCCCTAGATGGTCAGTATCAATCTTCTTTCAGGGATTCATCCCACGAACTTTCACGTGGTAGCACGTCCTGCGGTTAGGATTTACCAAGTATCGGAAATATTTTTTGATTTCTTCCCTGCTGTTTGTTCGTGAGTGTATTGTAGGTATTTCAGTCCAATTATTGTGCATTCCAACGGCAACTGATATACGTGTTTTGCGAAATACCTATTACTTTAATTCTGATCTGATGATCAAATCATTCAGTTGAAATGCGCTGAGGTAAGTGCCTTAACATTAAAGTAATGACTTCTATATTTTCTCAAACAATACGTTAAGTCACAAAACGTGTCTGCATTATTGGAAATGTTTGCACTGAGGACGTGCCCTGTAATAGGAGGTTTCCGTCTAATACCGTCGAACAATACACCGATGCGATGTTCACTCGACAGTGCAGATTGCTATTAAGAGCTCTGCAATGGCTATAACAATGTTCTTTAGATGAAGTGAACTATAGGTTGCTTTCTTAGTTTGTTTATTTAAAAAAATAAATTATTGAATTTATTTGCAAATATACCGATTTTATATAATTTATACAATTTACGGAACTGCTAAGATTTTTTTGAAATGGTGTAAGACATATTGAATTAAAATATAATTTAAATGGGCGAAAATTGTTATTAATATATATAATATAATAAATATTAAATAATAGCAATTTCCTCCTTAAATTAAATTCCATTATGACTGATATATCCCTGCAAGTAAAACAGTCATTGGGGTGCAATAGGTAGCCTAACAATAGCCTAGACTGACTACTGATGTACATTGATATGATTGTTTCACAAAACAATTCATTTGAATTTGACCACTCGCCTGTCCGATTCATGATAGTGTTTGGAATAGAAGGGGATTGAAAATCATTAGGCTTATGAAATACAATGCTGTATTTCCTATGCTATTTCCAAGATTAACCAAACTTACTTTTCAATATACGTGTTAATAACACAAAAGGTTTTTTTTCATGTTAGTTTAACTTACACATGAGAGAGTCGTAAAGATATCTAATTTTGACATTAAAATATATTTAATTATATAATTAATAAACGTAACTAATATTCATACAAGGAAGATAGGTATAAGGTAAATCGATAACCCTCCATTCCGAACATAATGTTCACATAATTGGCGAAACATTTCCATTCCAACCCTTTCAAGACAGCCGTAATGTTACGGCCTACATGTTATTTAATTACGCAATCTCGAGCACAATGTGAATTGTACAGAACTCCTTACGTATGATGGAAAGATCTCTAAGGAAATATTAGCGAAATATTTGAATATTATATGTATGAAAATTGTTTTATGATTTAAAACGTTTGTTCAACAAAAATTACGCTTAAGCACTCTACTTCATTGGGATTTCACAAGCGTTTCTATGCATTATTTTCGTATATATCGAAATTTTGTCGTAAATGTGTCTGTTTGTTATATCAAAATAACAGCTTTTTACTAAATGCATATGAAAGTATACGGTACTTATAAGAAAACAACAATATTTTTTTATCAGTCTGTTTGTTCCGACTAATCTACGAAACAGCTGGACTGATTTTTACGGGTAAAAGCAGAATGAAACACTTAGGTTACTTTTATTTTGGAAAAAGAATCAGGGTTCCGCTCAAAAAAATGAAAACCCATGAAATTATGACTATAATCCGCGTACCTAGGGGCACCCGAGCGAAGCTAGAATAAATCGCTAGTAAAATCATATATTTATTTAAACTATAGTTAATAGTACCTACGAAATAAAAGTGCACATTTAAGTCATAGAACTTTGAATATCTGAAATACATTATATAGAGTTCATTCTATACAGATATCCTTAGAAACTTAAGTCTAAGTCTCTAACTAATCAGTTTAAATTTACAAACGAAGCAATATCTACGGATTCATGCAGTCTCTAACTCCCTAACGATCTCAGGGCAAAGTAGGAACCCTTCTAAGATATTACTTACAGAGAACTATCTGTCCAAGTCCATTATAAACGTATGAATCATAGCGGTTCCAATGTCATTAACAAACTGGTATAACGCTATTGGCTCATGAAACAGCTTAAATATTTATTAAAATTTAAATATATAGTTTTTTTAGATCAATGAAAAATTATTAAAATGATAGGTAAAAAATGCAATACATATTATGTACAATAATGTCATTGATTAGATTAGCTTAACCATTCTTTATAGGAACTATTTTTAGCTACATAAACTTTCACAACCCTTTAAACACTTTGGAGGGTTAAATTAGTTCAAAAATTTCTTTTCACTGTACATGTACTTTTATACTTTAGAAATATGCAAAAATGCGGTAATCTGAGTAATGAGTTTGTGATAATATTTGACTTCATAATCTATACCTACATATAATAAAATTGTAACTAAGCCGAATATGTACATTAAATATTTTTTGGAAAATCTTATTGAAATAAACATTATTATCGATACAGAGGCCGAATCTTTAGTTTTTAGAATTTTTGTCTGTCTGTTTGTCTGTCTGTCTGTCTGTTACCACATCACAGAAAACCCACCGGAGGGATTTTGATGAAATTTGATATGGTAATAGCTGCTCATCCGGTTCAACATATAGAATACTTTTTACCTCGGGAAAATGTCTCATTTCTGAGAAAAAATACACAAACTGCAGTGTAAGAGTATACTAATATGTAAAACCTAAGAATTTGGTTTTTGGTCATTTAAACGCGGGCGGAGCCGCGGGCAATGCTAGTTTTTTTATAAATGTCAGAAACTTAAACATTTATAAAAACAGATAGACATTTTGACTTTTAGTTTGAATTGAAAAATATGAAATAGAGATTAAGTATGTTTTAAAATTTAAATTTTAATGTGCACTAGATGCTCATATCCATACTACTAAAATATATCTATTAGGAATGTCCGTTAGACGTTGATTAGGTCGGGGTGTTGTCCAATTTCCAGGGCGTAGAGGGATCCTCCTATATTGATTGTTATTAGCCCTTATGGTATATGCTAAGATCTTCATATAGGTAGGTACTTATTATAGTATTAAGTATAGGAATTCATTTTGTTATATTTATAATATGTATGTATTTAAAGTTATGTATATGTACTGTATTAACTATCTGGTATCCATAACACAAGCCTCGTAGCTTACCATGGAACAAGATGGTGTTGTGTGTTAATATCCCAATATGCTACATTTTTACTTTATTTTATATTAATCTTGTAATACCTAGCTATATAAAAATTACTTACCTACACCTAAAAATACACTATATTATTATACATAATAATAATTTGTGGCACTGTAAAAACGGTGTTAAAACATTATATACGACATACGAGTTCGAAAGAATTCGATCTGAATGCATTACGACTGGACTCTAGTTAACAAGCTAGCACATATTACATCGCTTTTGTAACCAAAGGCGTATTTCATGCCGTCGACACATAGAACGCTATCTGATGATTGGTTTTTGGCAATTACCAGTATTGCTCACGTCGCAATCCGGTTCATTCACCGTGTGAAATATGTATGGGATCCGCGATTCTCTTTGTTGCTTGCATCCATTGCAGTATTCCGGCAATAGTTTGGTTTTCAAATTACTCATTGATCAATGATTGCAGAATAATAGCGTGTTTGCATATTTAAAATAAATAGGTATATGAAGTGAAAGTAAAACATTTAGATAACATCTCTGAGAAAATTATATGTAGTGTCATATTCAGTTATCTATACCCGTGCATATTTAGTAAAACATAACAAAAGATACTAGTTCAAATTTAAATACGTGATGTTCAGTAAAAAATAAAACCTGCCATTAAATAAAACCACGTTAGCTGTGTCGTTTTGTCTATAATTTTAATTGGGCGGCGAGTAATTGTCAAAAAGCTTTTAGTGCATTGGACTTGGCAAGATTGTCAAATACCGACGAAAATCGATTAACAGCAGTTCATGCTAAACAAATATTGTTCTCATAATGTTTCTAGTTAGGAAATTATAACCATAAATATTGATGAAAATTAATCATAAGATATACATTCATGGATATCATTTAAAATAGCTACTCTTTGTCTTAAGGCCATTGCTACCGTGTCGCTTGGCATTTGCATAAAGGTTACCTTTCAGTACATTTTCTTTGCTGACACTCTACTGTGTTGAAGAAAGGGTGTTATTGTATTGCGTGCAATTTAACCTTTGTATTGTAAAGGGGGAAATTAACTTAATATATTCTTAATAGCTGACTCGCGATTCATTGTATTCAATATATCAGTACGTATAGCTGCGAAGATATTGATTAGAACAAGTTTTTAAAGCTTAAACTTAGATGCAATATAATTATTTAAATGTACAGTACATCTTCATTAAGTAGCATTATCAAAGAGTTCCTCTTGTTATCAGAAACGCAATCGATAAACCTATAAATTATTGAAGAAAATATCAAAACATACAATCAAGTCTTGGGAAAGTAAAACAAATGAGACGAGTGTCAGAAACAATAAGATCTAATTGAGAGTTATAACGTGTGAATAGGAAAATAAAATGCATTTTAATTAAATATCCGTAGTCTATTGTGGCATACACAATTACACAGGAAAGAGCGATGTGTTCGTTGCATGGAAAGAAAATTGGCCACGGATACTGGATAGTATACCGTTTACTGGCAGATAATAGTTTTAATGTAGGAAACAAACAGCGTATCTTAAGAGAAGACAATGGTGTCGTAATAAAAGCCCCTATTAATTTTGGCAAATGTGGAGCGTTGGTCATGACCGGTGATTTACGAAGGCATTGAAATTACTTCGCTTTTGTTTCTTTCTATCCTTACTCTAGGTTAGATACATAAAAGTATATGTAACAAAAAAAAATACTTAAATTATTTATATTTAAGGACTGGCCGCTTAAACTGAGTAATTACTTATTTCCGTATCTGTAAAATATTTTCACTCACCTCTCATTTTTTGTTCGTCCAAAAGTTGTCTTTCCAAGTTATCTTTCACCTCTCGTTCCCTAAGTACATCCATTTTCAGTTCAGCTGTAACAAGAATAATGATATATGAAATAACTGGAAAGCATCACGAACAATATTATTGTCTAATAAATTAGGTATAAATGGCTATAAATGATTCGTATACAAAAGGCATTGTATTTTAACAGTGATCCAAACCGTAACAAGGCCGTGAGCAAGGGGCCGATTAGAACATAAACACGGATTAACTCATTCGGAATCCTCACAATTGAAGGAGTTGATCTGGGAGATTTGCATAACTTTCAATTAAAGCTAACCTGACGGAAATTATTGGGGAGCTATTTCCGATTTGAATACATCTCGGAAATGGGTTTCAAGTACTATTTGTGTAATTAGTTTTGCTATTAAAGGATTATATATGAATTATTACATTGTTCTTAGTTAAATATAATTATCTCATAATTTTTACAAGCAGAATAAGCTTTGTGTTTATAACAGAATGAGTCTTGTTTACGTGAGTAAATATTTTTTTTTGTATATTATATTACTTTATTATATACAAGAGAAATCTTATGTGTAAGAAAGAAATAATAACCTATTTGTTACCTTAATTTGATTGTGATTTTTGATAATATTAATTTACTTTTACTTTTCGATTTATATAATAGTGACATTAATTATTATTATTGTTTTTGTTTACGTTCTCACTATGAATGCTCACATTCAACACATACATGAAAACAATATTGCAAATCAACCATTATTGAGTTTTGTTCAGTTAATCCCTATATTTCATTATAAATACACTATAAATTATGTTGGGAATTGGCGACTTTTTTCGATTTTTGATATCGATCGTATATTAAATATAGGATTTATAGTAAAGAGACAGGACTGGTACAAAGCTTCTATATCTACAAACAATAATCTCGAAGATAACACAGAGACAAGTTAACTTGCTCGTATGCTTGTAATAAGGCCTGGAATAAAAGCGAGTTACTCCTGTAATCTGCAGCTAAGATCTTGTAAAGCGAAACGATGTCTTGTTCATTGTTTGTTAAATTTTCTCTTACTGTTTATATTTTGAACAGTATATCTGATAATCTTGACATTTAAAACATAGCGCTACTAGACTTACAAGACGATATACCTACACTTGAACTTCAACAATAGACAAGCATTTGTGAAAACATTAAGAATCATGTGAACCATAAAAGCTTTGAAGGAAGTTCTTCTTCATCGATAAAGATATACCATAAATAAAATAAAAGCTATAATTTATAAGGTTAACTAAATTTTAAAAACGATTACACTGAGATGCACGGATTGGCTTGTAATTTAAAATTATTTTTAATCTTGAAGATGCAGAGGACTGTGTTCGAGATTAATTTCAAATCAATCCAGTTGTATGGTGCAATTTAGAGGGCTTTTAGTTAAGAGTGGTTTCGCACATGAGACGTAAATTACCTTCGGCGAGGCGGCCATTAAGGCTCGCGTTGGTATGCGCGCGCGCCGTATCTCCGCATCTTGCGATTTGTGAGCCGAGGCGTTTCAACAAAAGATGCTCCTGGTGGTCTTTGAGTCCAGGCCGATCTATCTTTGTATTGTTTGATGTTCGTGTTATAGATACGAGTAATGAGTTTACCAATAATTGCTTGCTAGCCCGATAGTTCTTTATAATTAAGTATCCACAAGGAAACATAAATTGTAAACTTGAATTTTTATTAGTATCTGTCCACAGGTACTAACTTTTACAAGCTAGAGATACCAACAATATCTGTCCTCATGAAAATATACAAAAAATAACACAGCGGAACACACGATTATAACTAAATCGATCTTTATATCGAATCAATCAAATTTAAAAACATGATATAGTGGAGCCGAGTAAAAAATTACCACTTTATAAATAAAATAACAATAAAAGTGATGCGCTGTTCAAGGGAATATATAATTATGGACAATTATTATTATACCGAAGCTCAATGGCTGATAGATGATTGAAAGGATCGAAACCCATAAACAAAAGGATCGATTTCGGTTACGCAATTTAATAATGGCCTAAAGTAATTAACTGATATAGTAATCGATTCTTAAAATATTTTGTTTTAAGTATACATGTTATCTCGAATTGAAAAGTCGTACACTTGTTTTCTTTTTGTTTAACTTGAGTCCCAGAGGGTCACAGAGGGGTACGTATTTCTCTTCAATTTCATGCACTCTGCAAAAGCAACAATCATATTTAAATTACGAGTGTGACACCCTTTGAGAATTGTTAGATAAGACTGAGTGACTAAATTTTTTATCTGAAAGTAAGTACCATATTATATGAGTAAGTGACATATACGTTATAACATATAATATGAGCGTTTTTTAACACAAATAATATGTTTATCCATTCTTTATATATAGAAATGTAAAAAATAACAATTAAATTTCAAGCTTCTAAAAGCTTACACCAAACAAATAATACGAAGTAACAATGGCAATGGAGCGTAACACATAAGTCATAGGACGGGCGAATTAAGACATATTTTCACAGCCCCCATTGCGAAGACTAAGTTGTGCTTGCAGTTAAAATAACAATTAAAGTCCGCTTTAAATTTACGACTCAAAACTGGCAAAATAATTTAAACGAACTTCGAGGTGAATGCGAATAAAATGGGTCTTAGAAAAGAGAAACAAAAGAACGCATTTAGTTCTCCCTCTCGTTCGCTTTTGGTCCTTTTAAAAGCGAATGAATAGATGGTAGTCTTCGGCGGTTTGAAGGTGAAATTTTAATAGTAATAGCATAAGGAAATATTACTGAGGAATATTGCTGATTAAAATGCTTAAGACAACGGAGAAGTGCGAATAAAGCCAGATTAGCATTCACAATGTTTTGAGATTTATAAAGTTATGAAACTCTAGTATTTATATTTACTTGCAATATTTGTGTCTTTGTATAAACATATATTTAGTTTTTACTTTTAAACACGAATTACACATGTATAGTTTTTATCTTCAATTTAATGGTTCAGGCTACATTGATATACAAATGTTTTTATATATATATATATTAGCATTGCCCGTGGCTCCGCCCGCGTTCAGATCAAAATCATATTTATCAAAATCAAATTCTTAGGTTTTACATATTAGTATACTCTTACATTACAGTTTTTGTATTTTTTCTCAGAAATGAGATATTTTCCCCCGGTAAAAAAGTATCCTACATGTTGACCCGGATAACCAGCTATCGCCATACCAAATGTCATCAAAATCCCTCCAGTGGTTTTTCTGTGATGCGGTAACAGACAGACAGACAAAAATTCTAAAAACTATAGATTCGGCCTCTGTAACGATAATAATGTTTATTTCAATAAGATTTTCCAAAAAATATTTAATGTACACATTCGGCTTAGTTACAAGTTCATTATATGTATGGATATATCAATGACCAGCAAAAATGTATGTGCCAACGAAATATGGATACAATCAATATGGAATTATAATTTAGAAAAAAATATCACTTTAATGTTTTTAACAAGGTGAATAATAGTAATTGATTTCTACCGTCTAATACATTAACATAATTCACGATGTTTCTTAAAGGCAAATTCAAAGTAACGATAATGGCTGTCACGGCGTGGAAAACGAATTTTCTTCCCTATGCTTTTTAAATTTACAAACCGTCGGCAATTTTATTTTAGTGTTATTAGATTTTTCCGGCTTATGTCACACAGAGATGTTACTGTGGAGGATTATTCCCGAAGTCTCTACGCTGATAATAATACGAATTGCCCTTCGTTATTATGTGTGAAATTTTGATCATAAAATCCTTGCATCCATTACATTTTCATCTTTTTTTCTTTTTATTTCAGTACATTATATTTGACTGTAATATTGAGTTATTCTTCTTTGTTATAACATCTTTTATTTTGAATATAATTTATATATTCGTAATTTTGTCGCTTCAAATAACATGGTCTTTCATACATCAAAATTTTATTATATTCTTGGTTGAACTCGTATTATTGGATTTAGACCTGCATTGAGACTTAATTTAATGAAGATGTCGTCACAAAATGAGTTAAAAAATATTAGTGCTTGGAACGAACACCGCCGGAATAACTCGCGGTGTTATCGACGCACGCGCAACCTATCTGCGATCGAAACACACCGGATAAGATTATCCGGTAGCCCTGTATTATTTTAATGAGACTACACGACTCCGCGAGATTCGATACGATACGAAAAAAGCTTAGGTAACGAAGCAAATAAAGAATATACAGGTCAAGAGAGATATCACGCTGCCGCTTCGGGATGACGGCGCTTGCAATGTGAACAATCTGCGCGGAGGGGATTTTTAAATTAGCCACCGAACACGATAAACTCCCGTACATCTACATACCAGCTGACGGCAGATCGGCCGATACCATTATGTCCCCGGTAAGGTACCGATTAAAAAATATCTACATTTATAAGCAGACAACATCTGGTATTTAAATAAGATATAAATGCGCGAGTCCGCGAATGTTTTGTTTTTCTGTTTCATTTTTTCCTTTCCTCGATAGAAACTCCCCTCAGTGGATATATTGGTATTAAAAATGTAAGGGAGATTTATGCGAATGGCTCTAAGCTTTCATTAGTTCTTCCTTATGAGATGTTTTTGCGGTCGCTCCCTGACCGGTAATTTTTCATTTTTCTGCGAACTTTTTGTGTAATGGGCGCGTTGTTAAAAATTTAACTGCATATAAAGAATATTTATACTCCCGTAGAGTTCCAGCTGCACGCTATGAGTTATATTGTTGCGATTCTGTTTCTATTGAAAGGGAATTGAAATTATGATAAATTGTTACGGGTGAGGAACTCTTAATGAAAAATAACGACTAAATTATTCCATTACCTACTTTATTTATCTTGTAACAGAATATATTGGGATTCTTGCTTTATTTTACAAATTATGTACTATACATCGGACAAAACAAGTTTATTACAGTATATAACTAGAATTATAACATAAAATTTAAGATTTCCAGCCCAGCTCCAGAATATTTGAATACAAAAATACCTCACTTCATAACCGT